ATCTATCTATCTATCTATCTATCTATCTATCTATCTATCTATCTATCTATCTGTCTGTCTGTCTTTCTGTCTGTTTTTAATTTGAGCATTTAATTTTTAGAATTTTATGCTTTCCATCTCAAATACAAAAACAACATAAATATTTTGCCTGAAAGTTAGTAAGGAAATTTATACAATATAAACCTGTATTATAAAACTGGAGCTCCTCTACTTAACTACCTCATAATCACATTTAAACATTGATGAATTGGGAACAAAATACAGAATAAAAATGATACACTGACTGACTTAATTAGTTTTATTTTGTTTTCATCAAGAGCCTTGAGCTGCTTTGATCAGGTGTGGGAAAACAGCTGATCTCATGCTGTTCTCTACATCCAATCTGTTCCTCTGCATGGTTTGGATGTGTTTCAAAGCTGAAGATGAACTCAAGAAAAACTTACTTTTTAGTTGAAAAAAGCTTGTTTTATTTTTATTTTTTTGTTGGGTCCTCACAGAGCAGAACAGATCTCAGCCTTATTTTATTTTACTACCTACAGTAAGAAATCCAATATTTTCATGTACCTCTTGCAATTCACTCGTGGACCGCTAGGGGTTCCCTTCAGGGAACTCTCTGTTATAGTAATGTGTCTTTCAGCCATCTAGGTCTGGGTTAAACTGAGATATGTGGATGTTCTCCTCTTTTTTATGCATTCACTCACTACCATGGCAACAGAACTATTCTGTGGGACGCTACCACTACTGTGCTTCACAGCTTGTGGAGTTATTTGTTTTCTTCGTCCGAAATCATAACCTTGGCTTTTCTTATCCCCTAACAAAAGGCTAGGTCTTTTTTCTCTAAAAGGTATTAGGATTTTGCATGTGAGTAGTTAAAAATTTCAAAGCTTGAAGGATCGGGTTGTTTGTTTCCTGGGGGGGACCCTGTTAGTCGATTCTGATGTTAAGCTTGTTTTACTGTGGACAAGGAAACTGGTGTTCAAACAGCTCTCAGTTATTGGCAGGGATGTCCTCAAACATCCTGTCTAATTTCCTTCCATTAGCCAGTTTGGGTCACAGATGAGTGAAGATTAGACTTAGTTGTTTGTTTATCCGACCATATATAGATACAAACCTGAAAAAACAGATTTAGGAATTGTTTTTGTTTCCAGAAAAGGAAATAAAGTTTTAAATGCATAATTACAATTCCATTTTTTTATTTCTATGTTGATCTTTAATACAAGTACATTTTAATATTCAATTTCCTGTGACCCTTCGATAAACGGTTTCACATTCGACATTATTAGATATTAAACAAACATAGAATAGATATATAGCTTTGTAAAGACAGGTTACATAGATTACATCTTTTTAGATCCTGTCAGTTGCTTCCACCAGTTTAAACGATCTAGATCTCAGCTTGCCCCTGCTGAAGTGTTGGGGGGCCTAGTGCTTAGGGCATTGAACTTTGAATCCAGAGGTTCTGAGTTCGAACTCCACTCCCACAGGCTGCCCCTCTGGGTCCCTGAGCAAGACCCTTAACCTCACACTGCTCCCCGGGCGCCACACAATGGCAGCCCACTGCTCCCTAAGGGGATGGGTTAAATGCAGAGAGTGAATTTCATTGCTCTGTATTTGTGACAGTGTAATGACAATAAAAATATAAAAATAAAAAAGCTAAAGCTATTCATGCACACACAAACTGGAGAAAGTCACAGAGAAACTTCCTACTTTGCCTGTCATTCAGTCTCCCTACATTAGACAAATGTTCTGCTTTTTCTTCTCCAATCACTGGGTTCATTCCCTGTCTTTGACTGGGGTGCTGGATGCTATTTCCGTTCCATCGCCTGATAAGAGGAATGACGTGAATGAGACTGGCTTGCCTGACAGCACAGGGATATTCCCCGGAGGAAGATCGTGCTGAAGTCTGATCTCTGACTTTTGAACCCTTGTTCTGAAGAGTCTTTATGAGCCGTGACCCTCAGAGTAGCCACATCCCCTCAAACACAACAAGGTCAAAATAGAGTTTCTTGAACTCAGTTTTTTTGCTTGACTGTTGGGAAAATCTTTGAGTGTCGAGCATCACTGTTGTAAATGACTGCCTAAGCATGTGTGTGGGCCACTATTTGGGAAAATAAATCTGCAGGGAGTTAGCCAAACACACAGGATGAAATGTTTCTGCTTACCTTTCTTCCAGCACTTTAATCTTTCCATCTTTGCAGCCTCTTGATCTCCTAATGCACTTTTTTCCTGCTGTATTATGCTGGTTACTGTTTCAGGGCAAACATCACTGTTGCTTCTGTTGTTGATTTTGTACAGAGCAGGGCTCCCTGTAGGGGTGTCTGACAAGGCAGACAAAGATCTTACTTTAACTTTATGTTTTCCTGATGGTTTTACAACTTCCTCTTTCTGCCGTAGCTTCAAACCACCCTCAGGTGTTGCCATGGACACATCTGATCCAGGATGCTTGCAAAGACCGTGTTCTAACTGGTGAGAAATTAGTTTTGTGTCGCTGTGGCTCAATCCAGCGAAGGGTTTCAAGATCACATCAGATTCCTTTGTTAGGTTTACTGATTCATAGCTAGATGGACGGTGAAATCCAACGTTCTCCAAGGAATCATTGCTTTTCACAGTTTCTTTGCAGTGGTTAAAGAAGTTACCTTGATGATCTTTTTGAGCCTCAAATGGCCCTCCAGATCTTACAACACCCTCTTCACTCAGTCCAACCTCCTCCAAAGCATCTAGCAGTTTGATCCCCCCCCTCTCAAAGGGAACTGGGTTTTTAATTGCTGCTACATACGAGTCTCTGAATCTACATTTTAAGTCCAGATCAATTAACTCTTGATCAAGCTGTTTTTGGCTGCACGGCTTGCATGCATCTTCACAGGTTTGTCCACAGGGACTGTTTTTTCCAGGTGGGATGGGTGGGGGTGGTCTCACGGGCTTGGGCAAAACTAAATTAGGTTGGATTTCTTTATCCACAAACTCCCTCCCTTTAGCAAGGTCCACCAGGTCCACATAATCCCCCTCCATCTCCTGATGGGTAAGACTCTCCCAGGTGTTGGGAGAAACCCAACCCACTGGCTTGTTTAGTGGTTTAGACCCTGATCTGGAGGACTGTCTTTCACGGTCCATTTTGATGAGTTTGGAAGATGTGTGTGCAGGTCTCAGGGATGCTGACATCCTGTATTCTTGCGGAGGAATAACCGCTTCCACTGGGAGGGTGGACGAGTTGAAGTGGGAAGAAGCGGAGGCCTTCTTTGACTGAGGTGCTGTTTCCCTACAGGTGGACTTAGTCTTAGGCCTGTCCAAAAACTCAGGGACAGCAATTTCAGCCCACGGCAACTTGATTACACCCTGGTCTGTGCAAAGAAGACAACGAGATAGAGGAGTCCCCTGGCGTCCTTCGTTGATATCCTGCAGCCACTCCTCAGTGAAGAGGCAGGGGTAGGACGTCTCAGGGATCGGGGTCTCCTCAACTTCTCGACACTCCTCCTCCAGAAGGCTTTTCAGGACGATCCGTGCAGCTTGGTCCCCAAAGGGTTCCACCTGGAGATAAAAGTCTCCAGGACGCAACAGCAAAGGGTTCACAGAGGCTAACTGGATGACGGTTTTGTCATGGAGACAAAGAGGCCAGCCCTCGCAGCGGAAAACCACATCAGAGTAACCAGACTGAAATAGAAAAAGATTATTGTTAATAAAGACAAAGAGATGTTTCATTTACTGTTTTTATTGCTTACAAGGATTAGGGACTTAATATTTAGCATACATGCAGAATCTTGGCCAATAAAGCTGATTCCTATTTCAAAGTTTGTTTTGCTGTCATGCTTCACTATCAACAGTCTATAGTTTAACCTTGAAGCATTTAACAAAAAAGGATAATTTGATATTTACTACAGTCATCAAGCTTGTAAATATAAATACAGCTGAAGGGAAAAATGCTGCTGCAGGGCCAGCAGGACCAAAACGAATGTTAATTTAGATATAAGGATCATCAAGTTGCTATGATTTATATTATTTCTCTTGCCTCTATAACATTGTTGCAAATCTACAGCCTAAGTGAAAACGAAGAGTGTGTTTTATACATTCATACTCACACATGCAGCCTGCTGCACCGACTCCAGTAAGTGTTTGGAGGGGATAAGGAAGTCCAACAGGCATTGCAAAGCATCGCCTTGGTAACGTTCATCGATGGTGCGAAATAACTGGCTGAGGACGATCGGTGCCGTAGCCTCAAAAGGTGGGAAGAGGGCCGACAGGGCACTCTGGATGGAAAGGTCCAGAGATTGTGGATTCTGGGAAGAGAGAAAAAAAGATAAGAATTATATATATTTCCTTTGACTTGCTGTTATGGGGTTAGAATGGTTCTGAGGATGTATCTGATTACTGATTCTGATTAACTTTAAACAACTACACACCAGAAATAAAGATATAATTATTATTATAATTACCTACAATCTTAATAACACATCTGAATACTTACAGTACTGTGTTGTGAGGCATTCTTATGGTTGGGTTTATATAATTTTATGGAGCCTAGGTGGAAGTTCAATTGAATAAACTGATTAATCGCCTTCATCCGCCTCCGACATCAGCTAATAAGCTTTGATCACACCTCAACAAAAGCCCAATCAGCATCCAGACTTTATCTTAAAAGGTCTCCAAACCACAACTCCTTCTGCTACCCAAAGAGCAGGCAGTGGTGTCACTATGTCAGACTTAGATTCAGATGAGCCTGTTTCATCCCACCTCCAGCCCCTCCACCACCATTGTAGCTAAAGCTTCATCAGAGTGTCATTCCTCCAAGACTCTTACTGCTTTCCTTGTCTCAATTCAACCGGTCCAGCAGAAGACCACCACATTGAACCTGGTTCTGCCAGAGGTTTCTTCCCAATGGGGAGTTTTTCCTCTCCACTGTCACTTCATCCTTACTCATCATGGACAGGTTCACGCAACCCGTGTTATCCAAGCTTCCAGGTCCCTGAGTGAAGCACTAGTATCAGCTCACACAGTGGATCTCTCCATTCATCTCAAACACAATGTCATAGACTGACCAACTTCATCTACCCCCACTAAACCACCAGTTTCAGGCCCGGGGGGAAACATCCCCATTCTTTACTCCTATTCATGCATATCAAAAAAACTGGCACTATGTAATATGAGAGAGCGCTATGAAATGAAGCTAATAAGGACCAGTTCAATTTTAGATATTTAAATCCAAGAGGTTACTTTGTATTTAATGTTATTTCACCATGCAGTACAGTATGTAGCACATTATGCCAGCTTCTTACCCCAACTTCATAACAAAGGCAAGGGAGGTTCCTCTGTTTAACGCATCAACTGCAATGAAAGCATGTGAAATGCTCCATGCGCTAAAGAACAGCAGGTCATAAGTCTGGGATTTTTCTCCCACTGAGCTGAAGGATTCTGTAATATTTCTTGTGTTGATTTTACTATTGATTACCTGACCTAACACTAACCTCACTCTCTCCAATTCTTCCAAAGATTACACCCTGAATTCTTTCCTAGATCTTCCTTTCTTTAAACCTCCTAACGCTCCATCACTCCACCATCTAATCCATCCTGAAAAACCTTTTGTTTTTTTGTCACATGGACCAAAATACTCTGCTGACTTCTTCCTGGCTCCAATCCCAGACATCCAGACATATCAGTTCCTTGGTGTTCCTTGTATGTCAATAAACCTCTTAAACTCTTGCCATTCAGATGTTTGCCTCCAAACATGATGCAGCTACACATAGTCACAACTTTCTATACCAGCATAAGCATTTTAACTAAAAGCATACAAAAATCAGTTGGATTTACCCTTACAAACACATTTGATAAAACTTTGCAGGATAGCTGTTAAAGCATCATTAATTGGAGCTTCATTCGAGCAGCAGAGGTTTTACAACCAAAGCTCCACATCAGCAGTGTGAGAAGCACACAGTCAGCTGTTCAGATTTTTTCATTTCAATCCCTGGCCCAGACATTTACTCCTTCCTTTCTTCCTTTGTCCGGTGCTCAAGTTGGAGGAGCATTTTACAGTCTTGGCAGCTGACCACTGGATCAGCTCCCTTTAAGATTTACACATCAAACAGGGACTAAGAAAATGACGAAAAAGAAAACAGATGAAAGTCTCTCAGCACCAAGGAAGTCTGCAGGAAGAAAGAGAGCCGGACACAGTGTCAGCCCAGACTAAAAAGACTAAAAATGTAACTCAAAAAGTAAGCATTAATAAACAAAAAATCTGAATTTGCCTTTAATTTAAAGATAACGGAAGCCCCTAAACTTTAAAGTTAGATGAAAACATTTTATTTTTCTTCGCTTATGTGAGATTTCATTAATCACATCCACTGAAAAAAAAATGTGTGAAAACAAACTAATTTCAATCAACCTCAGTTTTACATTTATGCATATGCAGTAAATTAACAGACAGATTAATAATGTAATTTGGATGTCTGCATAGTTGGATGCACTTTGCAGCGAGGGTCCTGCACATGTTCTGATCCCAGCCTGCAAACTTTCTGCATGGAGTTTTCATGCCTCCATGTGCATGCATGGGTTCTCTTCTTCCAAGAGTCCACAAAAAAAAAACCTGTAAGATTAACTGGTCTTTCTAAATTACCCTCAGGCATGTGCATGGTTGTATGTCCCTGTGTTCTCCTTTGGTGGTCTGGCAATCTGTGCATTGAGCAGTGGAGATAGATATTTCTATTGCTATTAAATAAAGACGGAAATAATTTTTGATACTGTGGGATGTGTTTTAACTTTTTGCTACATTTAGAGAAAACCTTAATTTAAAAAAAAAGGCTAATGTTAAACTCTCTCTTTATAAACCAATGCCATAAACAAGATAAATAGAACTATAAATTACAATGAAGAATGTTTTTGTATTACTTGGATGTGATTTTATAGAACGATTTTAACTGTGAGTCATTAGAAAAAGTCCCGATGGTCCAAAAAACTCAAGAACAAATACCCTTTAGTGCAACACAATAGATGCTTTGCCAACCTTTGATCCTTTGCTGTGCTTACTGGGAATCTGGCAAAAAGTTTTGGAATCTAGAGATGGGCAAATAAAGAAGGAATATCTTTGAACCTTTTGGATTAATTTTTAGAACACATGGGAAAACATAAGCGTTTTTAATGGTCTTTTTTTTTTATCTTTTTCACAGAGATGAATAATTTTATCCTGTGTTACAACAGAATGCTCACTTCATTCCTTACCTGGACACGGCTAATTTGAGTTAATATATTTGCAGCTGACCAGGGTTGTCAAATGATCAAAGTGAAAGGGGGATGCCTCTTTTAATCGCAAATGCCCTCAAAGACGCAACTGTCCGCAAAACAGTTTTAGGTCAAGTGCTACATGAGTAGCCAGTTTTTACTGTGCTTTTTGTGAAGTAATCCTCTCAATGCCTGGAAGGTTGAGGTATCAGCTGCAGCTGTGCTATTAGTAAAGACCAGCTAAGCACGTGGAAACAATTCAGATGAAAGGGGAGCATCTTTAAAACATTTCAGTGAACCCATCAGAGCATAAGCTTGGCTTTGAGATGGGGATGTTTAGAGATCTGAGATTAGATTAGTGAAATAGCCGAGCACTTTTGATCTGGCTGTGCAGTACGGCAGCAACAAAGGTTAAAATAAATCTGCAGCTTTGGCATGTTAGGTGGCTGTGAATTGTTCCTCCGAATTAAGCTTTCAATGAATAAAATTGCAGTTTATTTTTATAAAGACAGGGATCTTGAAGGTTTATTCTGCAGATATGTTGAACTTTATCTTCAAAGCTGGGGTTTCCCCTTTTTGTTCAGAAATAATTAATAGTCCAAACCATCAGCTATTGATAATACTGGGAAATAGAAATCCTGATAAAGCACAAGCAGCTCGCCTCATTGGCCTAAATTTCAGCACTAACTGTGGAACTTCTTTATTTTCTTCTCTAAATAAAGGAAACAACTGCACACAATGTAACAACCACATAAATATGCATTTAATGATTCCATGAACACGGAATATTTAGTTTAAAGACACAAAAAGAGAGCAAAAAAAAGAAAAAAAAGAGGTATGTTTCACATTCACACAGTAATATGATAAATAATAATACCATTTGCGATAAAATAGATGTAAAACTAATTCATATTTATATATTCGATTGTTATTGGAATCCTTAGCTTAGTGAAGTCAGTCCATAGCTATTCTTAACATGATTACTGCCTAGAACAGAAATTTGCAAATTGATCTGTTATTCAATTCTTGCTGACATGGAGTAAAGGCGTCATATAGTTATAGAACTGGTGCAAACAGAAACTGAAATTAATTACTAAAAGGTAAAAACTCTGGAATGCCAAGATTGCACAATTTACATTATTATGTTCATTTAATATGTTTTCCTGTCTTGTGTTTCTACAGTACTGTATATATTAGCTTTTGTTAATTCTGATTAGTCTGATTGTTTCTCACGAGACATGCTATGCTGTTTTACTATAATATATACAATAAACTCACTATAAATATATTTGATTTGATATTTCAGGTTTTGATGTCAATTTGATGTACAGGAAAACCAATAGTCTACTGGCTTAAAATGTAATGAAGCGATTCTTACTCAAACCACAGCTGGGGAAATTAATGATATGTACATATAGAAAAAAAATACAAATCAACCTAATGTAGATATAAAGGAAATATTTTATCACTGCTAAAGTCAGCTGCATAATTTTTCATGTTGCAATGGTTTTTGAAAAGATATAAAATGTAACATAAAAATGCAAAAGTTAGTCAAATTGACTATTTATGTTAAAGATGTAATACTGCTTTAAGACAGCAGGAATTCTATTCATGCAGTTAGTTCTCAGTAACCTGCTGTGTTACAGTTAACCCCCCCATCCAACAAAGGAGCCTTCTTTAAGCCTGTTTCTGGTATGGCCTGATGGCCTAAGCAGGTCCTGAGGAGCTCAAAGTAAACAGAAGCACAGCAGCTTCAAAGACCTCACACTGGTAAGACGGAACAACTGGCAGACACCAAAGCATCTGTCTGCACTTTAGACATGAAATGTTGGAAACAAATGTAAGAGATATTCAACTGTTGTTTATATGAACAACGTAATAACACCTTAAATCTTTCAGCTATGTTTAACATTTGCAATGACAGAGAGCTAAAATGAGTTAACATTCTCCAGACAGTGCAGGATACTGGATTCAATTCAATGTCAATATCTAAGCACCTCCAGTTTTCTCATTCTGCACCTCTGTTAGTCACTGCATTTCTTCCTTTTGCTTCATTTTCCTGATTGTG